CTACTAAATGGAAAAAGGGGACTTCCCGCACAAAATGTGATTGTTATGCACACATTTAGTTTGGTTTGCGCAGTGGTTTAGGTTCGTTATTTGAATTGTCAGAAACCCTTGGAGACTGATAAAAACATGAAAACTATTGATGAAAAAGGTACTGACACTGAAAAAAATTTAAAATAAAACTAAAGTCAATCGACAATTTCCCAGTTTTTTATGTAATGAATCTATGATTTTATGTAGTTTATGGACTAAAATGTAATATTTATTTTTATTTTGTTATTACTTAATATGTACTTACGCACATAAATGAAATGTGCACTTTTGAACAAATACATGCACATTTTTGTTTGAACGATGTAATATCAATATCTTTTATTCAAATAAGAAATAGTGACTATTCAATTAATTAAAACATTAAAAAGTTCTAAAATAGGCTTCCCCTCCATTAAGCGGACAGCTGTCTTGGGCGGACAAAAAATTACTGACGGTGAGTGTCCGCCCAAGGGAGGTTTAACTGTATACCCTACTATAAACACCTACCATTGATATGTCTGCATACCAAATTTCAAGTTCGTGGAACTTATGGTTCCGAAGTTATAGCCGATAAAGGATTCCACGCCTATAGGATGCGCCACGCCCCCTTTTACAAACTCATTTATATAAACCCTCATATAAGCACCTACTATTGATATGTCTTTATACCAAATGTCAAGTTCATGGGGCTTATGGTTCCGAAGTTATAGCTGATAAAATATTCCACGCCTATGGGATGTGCTACGCCCCCTTTTACAAACTCGTTTATATATACCCTCGTGTAAGCACCAGCCACTGGTATGTCTGTATACCAAATTTCAAGTTGGTGGGACTTATGGTTCCGAAGTTATAGCTGATAAAGGATTTCACGCCTATAGGATGCCCCACGCCCCCTTTTGCAAACTCATTTATATAGACCTTAATATAAGCACCTACCAAATATGTATATATGTAACTGCATACCAAATTTCAAGTTGGTGGGACTTATGGTTCCGAAGTTATAGCTGATAAAGGATTTCACGCCTATAGGATGCCCCACGCACCCTTTTGCAAACTCATTTATATAGACCTTAATATAAGCACCTACCAAATATGTATATATGTAACTGCATACCAAATTTAAAGTTGATGCGATATATGGTTCCGAAGTTATAGCTGATAAACATTTCAACGAATATGGGATATGCCACGCCCCCTTTCACAAACTCGTTTATATATACCCTCCTATAAACATGTACCATTGATATGTCTGCATACCTTACAAACTCGTTTATATATACCATTGGTATATCTGCATACCAAATTTCAAGTTTGTGTGACTTATGGTTCCGAAGTTATAGCTGATAAAAAATTCCGCGTCTATGGGATGCGCCACGCCCCCTTTTACAAACTCGTTTATATATACCCTCCTATAAGCACCTACCATTGGTATGTCTGCATACCAAATTTCAAGTTTGTGTGACTTATGGTTCGGAAGTTATAGCTGATAAAAAATTCC